TTGTACATTTTTCTCTTGTTCCGAATAATTGTGCGTGCGTCCTTGCATTATATGTGTGCAGGTTTGCTCGTCGTATTGCAGATTTACTAGACATGATTTCTCTAAACACAGATTCTGGACAGCCAACCCGGCGAGTACACTAGGCAACATGTAACAAATTACAAAAGGTTCCACTGTAACTTTGGACCTAAAAGCCCAGGACTCTTTGAGGAATTGTTTCAGTCTTTTGCTCAATTTCGTTTCTGTTTTCTTGAGCTCGGTGCCGTATTGTTTGTTGCACTTACATGGTTCCACACTCGGGATCTTTTCTCCGGGCACTTCGACGCGTAACGACATTTTGACAACAGTTTATCACTTTAACGTTCAGTTGTTTTTAAACATTCTCTAAAACGAGAACAAGTCTATGTAATTATTATTTGTTTAGTTTGTGTAGATGGAAAAAATATTTTCTTACAAAATTTTAATTTATTTTTTATTTCACTAGTAGCACTTTTAACGGGGAGTGTTCAGTTGCGCGTGCGACAGTCTATTGCGTGTGCGCTGCGAGTGTCGCGGGCGACTATATAATGTGTACGACTGTGTATCGTCATAAACACAACTTTGCGATATTTATTTGAGTCTGTATGAGAGGTGTGTGTAAAATAAAGTATGTGCAGTAATGTGTAGTAGCGAAATTAAAAATATTCATTGAAATAAGTGTCAGAGTTTTTTTTTAATCCATTAATACTTTGCCCGTCCCGGGTATCGAACCGAAGACCCCTTGCCAGGCAGTCGCACTTGCGACCACTCGGCCAAAGAAGAATCAATTAGTTGAATTACAAATCGTGTTTAGTCTGTTTTACTTTAAGTAGGTAAATCATAATTCTTCAAACTCAAAATGAAATCAAAAACATGGAAGGTAACAAGATGTTAAATAAGATGTTTGTATACAACATGACGTGTTGAACACTGCACGCAAAAGTAGATATTAGTAAATGAAATAAATTAATATGAATGAATCATTTTACATTATAATCAAATTAGTATTAGATAAATATTAACATTTGTTTGAATTGAATAGGTTACGAAACTACCAAACCGATTTGAAAAATTATTTCACCATTGGAATCCTACATTATCGATGATGAATGAATGAATGTCATGAACATAGGCTATATTTAATAAGAGAGAAATAAAATAAGAAACAAATAAGGGAACCGTGTGAAAACTTCGATTATGTAAGCCGATGTGTTAAAATACCAAAAAACTCCTTAAATTGCAGTTTTCTTCAGTTTTCAAGGCAAGGACTAATAATAGTATTTTTAAACTGTTTTCAAGGCCTAATAATAGTATTAGCTGCATAAGAATCAGAGATTTTAAAGAAAAAATACAGATTCAATGAACTGAATATATTTAATCATAGACTAGCTTCTGCCCACGGTTTAGCTCGAGCTCTTTTAAAGTATTGATTAATTTTAGGTTTCTTGAAAATTACGAAATACTCCATACAAACTACTTATCATCCCCTATTTTAGGGAAGTGGTGGGTTGGAGAGAAACAAAATGTCGCCTATGTTACTTTCAATTATTTCAACTATCTCCACTGAATAAAAAGTCACGTCATTTCCTAACAAAACAAACAGACATACGCAAATTTATACCTATTCTATATTCATGACATATACACTTAAAAGACAAACTTGCCCACCAGTTGTGCTCAATAATGTAGAAGTACCTCAAGCAGATCATGTGCGCTATTTGGGGCTACACCTGGATAAACGATTAATCTTCAGCTAACATTAGAAAATAAAGTCCTTCTATACAAGGCTATCCTCAAACCAGTGTCGCGGAGAACCTAACGGGTAACCGGGGCTCCGGCTTGACGTGCAGGAGAAGGAACGGGGTGGTTTTTAGTCAGTAAGAGTCTGACACTCCCTCCCGCCTCACCCAGGCGGGGGCAGTCATTCGATGATTTTCCAACCTTAAAAAAAAATCCTCAAACCAGTAAGCACATACGATATACAGTTGTGGGGTATGAATAACTTAGTGTTAAACGATAAAAAACAAAATGTATTAGATTTGTTTTGTCAAACGTTAAAAGTAACGAATGTGACATAAAAGTCAAACATTAGAATTAGTAAAAGAGAGTAGAGGTACATTCCTGGGAATTACTGTAGACGACAAATTGCAATGGGGTCCTCACATTACATCTTTAGCGGGACGATTAAGTTCTGCAGTTTATGCTGTCTGGGTGACTCGCCAGTTAACCGACAAAGACACGGCAAGACTAGTGTACTTCAGTTACTTCCAACCATCATGTCGTATGGCATTTTGCTGTGGGGACAAGCTGCTGTCATTGAGTCTATATTTATCTTACACTAGCTACTTCCGCGCGGTTTCACACGCTCTGCTTAGCTCCTCTTGGCCGTAGCGTGATGTTTTATAGCCTATAGCCATCCTTCATAAATGCGCTATACATCACAAAAAGAATTATTCAAATCAGACTTGTAGTAACGGAGATTAGCGCGTTCAAACAAGCAAACAAAAAGCTTCTTCCGCTTTATATAATAGTATTTTTTTTTTAGAGGTGGGAAATCTCCCGCCTGGTTGAGGCGGGAGGGAGTGTCAGACTCTTACTGACTAAAAACCACCCCGTTCCTTCTCCTGCACGTCGAGTCGGAGCCCCGGTTACCCGTTAGGTTCTCCGCGACTCCGAATCGGCATCGGCCCTATTGGGCCCCATCTGTGGTGGTCTGATGGCTCTTTGAGGCGCGCGCGGAACGCGACGCGCCGTACGCTCGGGTCTGTTTCTGGTCGGACGGGGAGCCACCCATGCTCGCCGTCCGCAGGCCCGCGCTTACGGTGGCCGGAGATCGTCCCGCGATCCCCGACGCCCGGTGTGTCCTTCGCGATGGCTGGGTTGCGAGGAGGCAGCGCTTCGCTGCTTCACGCGTCCCGCCTATATAATAGTATAAGAGTATAAGAAAAGCACGCCGCCAGAGCTATCTAAAACCTAGGTCGTCGCGAAACCCTCAAAGAAAAGTTTAAGGAGATCAATATTATGACCATTCCATGTCAATTTATTTATGAAAATATTATGTATATTAGGAGAAACCTACAGTTGTTTGGTAAAGTGTCTGACAGACACAACTGTCAAACTAGACTTAAGGAAAGTCAGCCACTTTTTAGATTGACAAAAGTAGGTACGTAAGTCCTTTATGGGATTCTGTGTTAAATGCTATACAAAATTCCGAAGGAAATACAACGCTTAAATTAAACAAAATTCAAATAATGTATTAAAAACGTTATGTATACAAGCATATTACAAACTTACTAAAAATAGATGAATAGAAGATAAAAATGCTTGGAGGCAGGCTGATCTTGACATTATAAACCGCCTTGCTTAGAAGCCTAAATTAATGCAATTTGATTATTATTATTATTTTTTGTGTATGTGATTATGTTTTCCTGATGTTAATTTGCTTGTCTATTTTTTTTGTACCTAAATTAAATAACAGACACATCTAAATTGTTAAATGAATACTTAAATTAAATGATATGAACGACTGCCTTGTTGGCCGAGTGGTCGCAAGTGCGACTGCCGAGCAAGGGGTCTCGGGTTCGATTCCCGGGTCGGGCAAAGTATTACTGGGTTTAAAAAAAAAACTCAGTAGTAGCACGGAGTCTGGAATGGTGTCCGGTATAATTATGGCAATAGGCTCACCCCCTATTACATGGGACTCATAACATAAATAGTGAAAAGTGGGTGTTACATTGTACAGTGGAATAATGTGCACCTTTGCCTACCCTTTTGGGATAAAAGGCGTGATGTTATGTTATGTTATGTTTTGAAATGAAAAAAGATCCGGCTCCACAGGATAGCGAAAAACATTGATGTTTCAATGAGTTTCAATCATTTAATAATACAGTATACAGCCTTAGATTCATATGCGTTATAATTCTATGAATACAGCCATGTTGTCCAAATGAACGCTTGACAGCGTTTATTTGAACAACTTTACATATATATGTAAATTTAAGTGTGGGAGAGCCATGCTTCGGTACGAATGAGCCGGCTCGACCGGAGTGATACCACGGCCTCATAGAAAACCGACGTGAAGCAACGCCTGTGTTGTGTTTCGTCGAGTGAGTGAGGTTACCGGAGGTCCAATTACCCTCCCCTTTCCCAATCTCCCCAATTCCTGAATCCCCAACGATCCTCAAACTCCTAATCCCCAAAAGGCCGGCAACGCACTTGTAACGCCTCTGGTGTTCCAGGTTGACACCTGGAACACCTGACGGTGATCAGGTGATCCGTCGGCTCGATTACCGGCTTATGCCATAAAAAAAATGTAAAATTTTAGTGGCATAATGTGCACCTCTGTCTACCCCTTCGGGGATAAAAGGCGTAATGATATGTTGATGTTGTAAATATGTAAAATAAACGTAATTGTGTGAGCCCTATTACTAACTAAATCAAAATAGACTCGTAGAATACATTTGTGTCATGCAGCCTAGTTATCATGCTGCATGTCAACTGGTACTGCCCAGCTCCAGAATGTAGGTATAATGATTTGTTGTCTCCAAGGTTATTTTCTTTTTCTTTCTCCTTGATTGAATATTGGTGTTGCATTATTTTCACACGTTTGAACCTTTAAAAAGAAATGTAACCAAGAATATTGTATTGTGAATCTGATTGACAAGAGATTCTTGCTTAAGCGACATCTATTATCGGGTAGTGATACAGTACATTGCCCTATTTAGTTCTTTTTTATTATGTAGATGTCGCTAGTTTCGCAAAGAAATTAAACTTGTTATAAAAAAAATGTGCAATAATTACAAAAATAATAAGTACCTTCAGTAACGTGCGTTCAACAAAATACAAGATAAATATTAAAAGCCGTCTCTAGAATATAAAATTTCTGGCGAATGGCAGCACTTCTATTATGTCACTGTCAACTGTCATTTTGACAAAAACCAAAACAACACTCGATTTGTCAATAATGACGAAAATAACTGTTTACAATTTCTAGTAGGTATTCTTTTTTACCGTTTTTACTCTATTTATCGCCAAAATTTGGACCAAATTCTAGAAGAAAATGAAGCTTGAAGTATATAAAATTCCTGAATCCACTACTTAATCTAATTCCACGTACATATTTATAAATTACTCAGAGGTCATTCGCAGAAAAGATCATCTTTGTGGTAAACAATGAATATAACAAGATTACACATGACAAAGCAACTTCTTAGATACGCAGTGCTTGTAAAAAATGTCCAAAGAATGATCCCAAATAGTGATTATTACTCTACAATGACCTTAGATGCATTTGTAAATGAGATATTCGAGCGGCATAAAAAGGTCAAATTTCAGAGAAGTGATCTAGTCGAAGCGAATACACAGTACGTATACAAGTGATAAAACTAAATTATCTTCAATGGACCTGCAGAACAAAGTTACTGAACTATTTGGCAAAAACTGGGACAGAGATGTAGTGAAACTTATAAATCAATGTAAGGAATGCAAGAAATTACTGACTTATTCTGCAGTTAAGAAGCTAGTTTGAGAAAATTGCCATAAAACAAGAATTCTGTTTGAAAGTTGATCCCGTCTCATAAAGAAGAAACGGAGAGTTCTTATATTCCTATTTCATATATTTTCTGACCAGATGCCAGCCAATGAATTTTTTGAAACATCTGATGTATTATTAGAGAAAAGTAAGAAGATATTATAAAAATTATACCTATAACATTTTAAGCTAAGTTGTGGGCCTTTGTGAGTTTGTGGCCGTACACTAAGTATAATTCTAAATCCCAGATTTTTTTAATATCTCAAAAACCATAACTAGTACTGTTCTTTACCAACATATTATTTAATGCAATGTCTTCTAGATATTTCTTAATTCTATTGTACTAAATCAGACATTTCACTGTGTTTCAGGGCAATGGCTTTCAGTATAATGGCCCTAAAGGACTTCAAAGAAGACGGAGTGGTTAGATTACTGCAGACTTTACTTAAATATGAAATGATGAAAGAGTATGTCGATGTGTTACAAGTGTTGTTCAATTTTAAATGTAAGTTACAACTTATTGCAGACTTTGTATTATGCAATGGATTGGTAAAAATAAGAAGCATCATAGATCATAGCACAATCAAAATTTAATAATGAAATAACTATTTATTTATTTATAATATGGACAACCAGTAGTTGCTACATTAGGTCTTATATCTAAGCACTTACATTGTAATACATTTTAAATGCACAACATTTTAAGGTGTCACAGCATGCACAGTAGTCTAACGATGACACTTTTCTCAGTATTTGTAATAATTGGAAAGTAAAATAAAAACTAAGAAATACTTAAAATTAAAATTAAAACATAAAATAAAATAAAAAACTGAAATAAAAAATCCAAGTACATATTAAAAATCTACGTATTATTATGGTCACTCAATAATCTCACTACAGCCTTTTTAAAATTCGGTAGCGTGTCAGCAAAAATATCCACCTGACCAGAAATTTCGTTATAGGACTTCGACAGTCGAGACAGAGCAGAAAAATCCTTCAAGTTGGTTCTGGCAGGCGGTCGATGCAATAACCCAGCCCTGAGCGTCGCTTTTCTAGGGACACGAGATGGCACACGTAAACCGACTATTCCTAAAAGTGGCGGACAATGAATTCCGTATCTCAAAACCTTATACAGAAATGTCAAGTCTAGTAAGCGTCTCCGAATTGACAGACTTTCCATCTTAAAATGCCTCAATTTGTCCCCGTATGACCTTATCTGCTTGTGTAAGCCGAATGAGAAGGCGAGGTGTCTTAAAAATCTCTTCTGAATCCGTTCGATTCGAAGTTGGTGAACATTGTATTCTGGTGACCATACAACACTGCAATATTCAAGGTTACTACGAACATAACTATTATAAAGAGCTATTTTAGTAGTGGGCATGCGAAATGATTTAGTGTTTCGAATGATAAAACCCAACATTTTTGATGATTTATTTATAATATTGTCTATATGGGGAACGAATGTTAATTTAGAGTCAAGTATTACGCCTAAATCTCTCATTTCGGTTTTTTTT